TTATTATAAGGTCGGTAAGATCGAACAATATTATGCATATTTCTGACCAATTAATGAGTAATCTCATTAATTGGTATTTAAATGTAATTTCCAAAATAAAGGATTTACAAAAAAAAACTACGTACTAACTTTTAAATAGACAAGAACAAGGTTGTGAAAAGTTGCTATAGATTAATAACTATCTAAATTAAAATGAGGAAAGGAGTAGATAATCACCACTATTTTGCGGATTACACTATTGTTTTAATTTTTAATGACCAATCTGCCGAACACTGCAGCGTCCATTATCACCGGAAATTAAACGAAAGAAACCGTTAAACGTTTACAATCTCGGATGAAAGAATTCAGCACCAAAAAGTTATTTCCCATAAATTAATAGCAACAACCGTCAAACGTTACTATTGCCAAACACGTGGCCATTACAAATATTACAGTACCTTAATATAAATGTACACTCCAAAAAATAAAACTCACAACTAAGGCACTCATTGCGAATGGCGAGGCATGAAGGTCACAATTTGATAAACGAACGGCTTGCGATGCGAGTTAGTTGGCTAAACATGCAAGAGAAAACCAATTAATTTTAAACTCATGTAACATTAGTGTTCACTCAACATTCGTGTGACAGTGAATAAACCACGACCTCACAGAAGACCTGCGTTAAAGTAAGAGTGTTACACTTCTGCGATTCGTCTGGTGAGTGAGGTAGCCGGGGCCCACTTTATTTAAAGGTGGCAACGCATTTGCAAACCTGCAGGTGTTGCAAATGTCACTGGGCGGCAGTACACATCAGGTGAACCGCAGGCCCCTTTTGCCGCTTTCTCACATAAAAAAAAATTATCAAATCGATCTTAAGTACACCTTTCAAGCTAGGTAATTATCGATAGAAAGATATTAAATTACTCATAAGACAAACTTAGATTACTTGCGCATTTTTGTGTAATACTCGTGTTAATGAAATTGTGCCAAAAAAAAGCAAACATTTACCTATTTTAAAAGTGTGTTAAGAAATTCACAAATAAATAATTCCTATTAGTTTATCCAAGTAGGGTTGGCACATTACATTTCTCTTGACATTATTTGATGTAATTTTTGTGACGTATATGATTTTCACGAAATGACGTCAATTCCGTCATTTTTATGATGGTCATAATTACAATAGTTTTGAATGTTATTATCATGAAAACAATTTATGTTCAAAGGTTCTATAGCTATAGTAATTTTGCAGTTGGTGGCCATCAATATACAATAGTAATTCATTTGACCGGAGTGCACTTAACTGTCGATCTAAAGCTTGATACCAAATCTTATGTTTTCGGCAACTCGAGGAAGCGAGCATATACCGGAATTTTGCTATTGCTGTAGTAGAATTATTTGAGTAAAATTGTAATTTCCGTACACATTCTGCCTTTTATTCACTAAAACGGGTGATTAGGAGTGACTGATAAATGTAAAATACATTGAAAAAAAATGTAAAATACATTGCAAAAACCCTTCAATGTGATAGGGTATATTATACTTCCACTTTACGCCGGTCTTCTGTGAGGTCGTGGTACTTAGCCGGACGAGCCTGCCCATTCGTGCAACAGCCAAGGCTGCTGCGTGGCCCTACCACCGTTAAATGCTCTAAGTAACAAGGGCCCACTTCATTAAAAGCTTACAATGCTTCTGCATTGGCAGTAGCTCGGAATGTCTATGGGTGTTGGTTATCACTCACACGAGAACTGCCAGTTCACTTGCAATCCTCTTACAAAAGAAAAAAAAATATCAGTTTACCTCCGGTCATCATATAGATAATAACTTATATTTCATTCATCTTTGGCAGTAAATAGAAGTAGGGCACTTGGAACTGACGTCTAATAGTTGTGTTTTAAAGGGGGGAAGAGACGTTGGCCATGATTGTAATTGTAATGAATGACATTATGTACAAAATATGTTAGGTAGATATGACACTAGCGTACCAAAATTGAGGCAATCAAATAACGCCAATTGGTGTAATTAGATTGCTATTCTATATCTATCTCTTTACTTATCATACATTCTATATTCACTCACTTATATATGTCATCTAATTTAAAATGGAACAATTTATAAACGCCACGCTATGGATGTTCATACATGGGTCATGTTTATTAAAACGTCTATGATTGTAATGTTAACATCTAAATTCGCATGGGAAGTTCGTTATTCTTATTTTTCGTTATACTTATTGATTGGATATTTGTGTTTATTCAAAAATATTCAAAAGGTTTTTATGTAAAATGTACAACGATAGGGTTTTTAAATGTTCAACTTCTGTTTTTTTTTTCTAAAAATATAAGACTTGAATTCATCACTGGACCTAAAGCATAAAAAATTATACATACCACCCTGTTTTAGAAAACTCTTAAATACCACACCATTTTTACGACCGCTAATATTTAGTTTACGTTAAAAGTTGACTTGACCCGAATTTTGCGGGCAATGTATACTTGCACAGATAATATATTCCGTTATATTTGTATTGATATTACATTTACATATATGTAGGTACTTACATCCAGTTTTCATCTGTCAGTCTTCTATGTATGAGTATTAATACCTATGATTTTCCATTCCAAATTCCAGTTTTCCATGTTTTAAAGCTACGTCCGGAAATATATATAATCACTGCTGAACATAGACCCTCTCCCCCCTCGCACAGACTGCCACGAAATTCCATATATTGAAGTCTTAAACTTAACGATATTACATTTGAAGACCACCATAACAGGGCCAAAACAAGATGGCCATTTCAGTATGATACATGAGTGTCAATTAACATAAATCGCCTTATACAAATTGCAAAGTAACACGAACGTTACGTGAACACTATGATAAGTTGACCTTTACCTCCATTTCATGAATCGTTTGTAACCATACAATGGGGTCTGAGTGGTAAACCACATGTGCATGTATGAGACTCAACTTCGGGTAATATTTGACATCGTACAGGGTCGGGGTCAAAAGAACAATGCAAAGTGTTCAAAGATAAACGAACTGCGTCGTCTTAATATTCTCACGTTATCATTTACTCATTTGGGGTAATGGCTCATGGCTGGAACGTCGGATTAACGATCGAAAGGTCTCGAAATTTAAATTTTTTTAGCGCTAATCTCGGCACCTGAGATTAAATATTAAAAACTTGTAGAAAAAAGGAACGAAAAGTTTCTCGCCGATGTGGAAATCGAATCCACGTCGTCGGGATTCGCGCCCTGATGCTCTAGCCACTAAATTAAACGGTAGATTGCCACATCGACAAAATTCAAACGCCCGTTATCTACATTTGACAGCATTTGATGCAATGCTTGGTCAAAAGGTATCGAGTTCAAACGCAGTGGCTTATAACAGTAAGCTATTCATCTTTCGGATTTCTTACGTGCAAAAGTCACTGTTTGACATTTTGTGTCTGTACTCAATATGAGCTATATTGTATCTCTGGTGCCTGAAATCGTAAATTAAGATGTTGGTTTGTAATTTTTATTTAAGTTATAAAACTACTTGTTAAAAACAATCTGTCATGTGCCGACCTCTGTGAATATTATCAAGTACATTTGTAATATTGTACCGCTTTACGTTTATTGTACAACAACAGCAGATGGCGTTGTAGTAAATATTATTAAGTCAATTTCCTTCTTTTATTAATACTTATACAACAAGAGCAAACTTATTTATTCAAAAAGATGTCAGAGTAAAACAATTCCAAAAATTTATTGTGGTTAAAATGTTTTTTATTACGTAATAAAAACGTACAATACGAAAATTAGCCTTAAAATAAAACACATTCTAATTTGTAAAAATGTTTATATCGATAAAGTTTTATCAAAACATTTTGTTAACTTATGTTACGTGTTGAGAAGAAAGACTGAAATGGTTTTATTCCTAGTATCACGAAAGTAAGATCTATTCCAATTTGTGGCGGCAACGGGTAAAAAACGCACATTAAAACAAAAAATTCCACTATGTTATGAAGTAGTAAAGCAAAATATTCAAGCATTACTTTTCATCATCAAATACACTTCATTCAAACATTGTTAAACATTACATTTTGAAAAAGTACCAAAACAGATTGCAAAATTCCATTCTCCATATTAATTTCAAATACTGTAAAAAGGCTGTACACTTCCACAAGTAACATACCCACCTAACTCACTCACCGGACGAAACACAGAAGTGTAATAATTCTACTTTACGTCAGTCTTCTATGAGGTTGTGGTACTTACCCGGACAAACCTGCCCATTTGTACAACAGTGAACACCATTGCGTGGCCCTACCACAGCTGTTCAAATATTTATGTTATTGCTTTTTTTCTATTTAATGGTTTGGTAGATCACCAATATCTTATCTTATATCTCAAATGATCATCTAAAACTTTGTTATAATGGCAACTGCAATGCAAATTTAACTTTTAGAAGGGAAATCCCTGAGTTAGCTCGCTCTGCAGTTTATATACAAAAGTTCATATGAATTTACAAGGGTCTACAGAAAAGGCTGTGGTCCTTACATGGAAAAGTAAAATAATGATCTGCCACAGTATAAATAATCCTTTAACATGGTTTAGCAAATTTGATTAATATTTTAAATTTCAACTTAGCATTGATATAAAATAATAGAAAAATGCTTAAACTTGATAAATTTGCAATGTTTTATAAATTGAGTTTATCTGACAGAATATTTGGACATTGAAAAATCAAATAGCATGTTTAGAATAACTTAGTTGTTTGACTTTACCTGAAATTAGTGCACTATTATTAAACCTTAAATAAATATATTATTGAGATTTAAGCTAGCAGAGATGTACATTGAAATTTTCAAAACCATATTGTTAAATATGAATTAACAATGACTTGCTCAAAGTATTGCTATATAATAATTTCTGTATTTTAACCACTGTTATATAAATAAAATAATCCACCAGTGTTTTATTAATTTGCAGTCTAAAAAAGTTTATAAAAAAGTATGTTCTTTCCAACCAACATTATTCTAGTATTTCAACACCGCTGGAACTCTCCTCACTACTTTCCTCCTCACTAGACTCTTCAGTAGAATCGTCATCTGATCGGTCACCTCGCGCTGCCTTTCGAGCCATTAATTCTTTATATTGACTCACTGTTATTTTCCTAGGCATAATTTCACGTAGGAAGTCTAGTGTGTCATCTTCTTGCACAACCTCAGCTATGTGTTTGTATTCGAGCAGGTTGCTCTTTGTGTTTTTGTACGCCCTTTTTGCTAAATCCGTAACAAACAGTTCCTGAAGTTTACAATTTCATTATTAATCTTAACTCAAAATATGGTAATACATTTATGAAGCATTAAATTAAATTTTTTTAATTGTTGAAATTTAATTTATTTGAATTGATCATCAGCAAAATATGGATTTATATTATTTGAATACTTACTGTAACTTTGGTAACTACGTACAATGGTTCAGGGCCAACAGCATCAACTTCTGGGGAGCTTTTCATTATTGTTTTTACTCTAGACAAAGGCAAGTGAAGATCTTTTTCAGATTTGCTAGCAGACATTTTAAAATCTCAACTACTACCGGCGTATGTGCTTCAATTCAAATGTTTTGGTAAAAACTTCAACTTCCAATTCAAAATTCATTCATCTTCATTTCATCAACAATTTTATATTTTGTAAAGTGGCGCGGCAAATGCATCAAGGCCATGCCACTCATCCACTCAAATATTTTTCGCAATAAATAAATTTATGATTTAAAAAAAAACTGGTGCTGTTTTCCAGTAATTATATTGCTGTGAAAAAAATTATCCATAAAAAGTTCAAATATTTAAATTAAATAATAAATTACACAGTATACAACACTTCATTGGCACTGCAATGTGGTATACATACATATCATACGGTATATTAATCAATATATTTGTCAGTTTTTATATTCATTTTTATAAATTTTCATATATTCATTTTTATTATTAAAATATATTCATTTTTCATTTTTATAAATTGCATTTTCGCGATTCTTTTGAAAAATTAATTAAAATAAAACATTAAAGATAAAATTCAAGATCCACACAGACGCAAAATAACGATCCTTCTCAGCTTTTCTAATAAAATAAAACTAAGCTTATTAGGATTTGTCAAGAGATGGCGTTACATGAGACGACTTTATCCCATTTTACGGCTGTTTTCGTATCTAATAAACATGTCGCAAATTTATATGAAACAGTTTAAGAAACAAAAATCTCGCAGCATTCATTCAAACGCAGAAAGATATACTTTTCCAAAAACTACAAAATCTCGGAAACATAAATGTTCTTTCAATGGTCTGTACAAAAATTGCAAAAAAACTATCGTCACATACTTATGTATGTAAAGACAATTTTCTTGGTGATTGATAAAGAGTTTTTTCATTTGGAGAATAAAAAAATATTTACCGGTACTGTTAGGAATGTTGCCAATAGGGTCCATTCACCATTGTTAATGGTTGTAAAGACCGTTAGAGGATTCTTTATATAACTTTGATTATACAGTTGAAAAGTATTAATTGATCAAAGCATTTAATATTTTATGAATTTACAGATTTTGGTGTATCCAAATATCCATAAAATTAAAACAACATCTGTTGTAAATCAGTGATATCGTGTTGCATCAATAGTATCTGCATCTCATGAAAAAGTTAAAAACGCAGTTTCTTACCTACCGTTGATTGGGCGCATTTGGGTCAGGGATGTCGAAAGTGAAGAAATATATCGATATTTATAAAAATTTCCATATTGGCTTCGATATATAAAAGATAAAATATCGGTATGTTGACATTTTCTCTTTAGGTCCTTGACACCTTTTGTCAAAAAATAAAAAAAGTCAAGTATAAAACATGTCCTATGTCAAGTATAAAACATTTATTTTATATTATATTTTGAACACCAGCATCTATTTACCATTCACTTGTTTGGCAGTTTTAAACAGTAGGTATAATAATAAGCACATATTTGAATATTTGTTATTTATACCGACTAGCATTCGCGTGTTGATGTATGGACCACTCCTTTTAGTAAGTGTTCTGTGTATGGACCATGGCAATAAGTATTTGTTATTTGTGAAGAATGATTTTGTACCTAAGAGGGCATTTGTTTATATTTAAGAGGGTTTTTAGTTAAATCTACATTAAGTAGGTAGAAATTAAAATGTAATATAGTATTCAAATATTAGATACCTAGTCACGTATTGACAATTTTTTTACTAACGAAAAACATAACTGACTTCAAATGTCTTGCTCTGTATTAATTTTATAATTGATTTTCAAGAGTTCCCTACGTATCTCCGGAGTCCAAGATCCAATACCAATGAAATTAATATGGGACCACATGGGAAGCAGAAGCACCAGCTTTCAAATAAAAAAAGAATCATCGAAATCGGTTCTCTCCGTCGAAAGTTCTGAGGTAACCGATTTTGATGATGATGAGGTAACAAACGTAAAAAAAATACAGTCTAATTGAGAACTTCCTTCCTTTTTGAAGTCGGTTAAAAATGTAATGTCCTTACAGACTCTAATCAACAGTAAATCTCTTTGTTAAATAAATTGAAAGACTTGCGACAGTTTCACTTACGTAACTTAAGTGAAATTTAGATGAATTGGTCCTAATCAAGAATTACCATTTCAGACAAGGCTGATAGTTGTACTTAATCATAGTCTAATGATTTTTTTTACGACCAATCTACATATTGTGCTAAGTGCTTTGGAGTATTCGTGAAAGGATTATTCATGTTAAATAATGATGAAAACGGAATAATGGAAATAAAATTTATTACACTTTATAATAGTAAAAGCTAATTAATCGATATCTTTACACATACCGGTTTTTAGCAAATGTAGCGTTTACATCGTGGGGCTCAGTCAAATAAAAATTCCACGTGTTCTTAACGCTAGCTGTCTTTATTTCCCATTTCCTTATAGAAAATACTTTTCCGAAGGGGGGGCGGCGCGGCGGGCCGGCCGCGTGCCCGGGGCCGGCGCGGGCCGTTGACTAGTGCCGCCCGCGGGCGCCGCTCGCCCCGACCGACACGCATCCAATACGATAAACGATAAATAATACAAAAACGAATACTGTTAGCGCGAGATCGATCGGCGGCTTACAGGGACTTCTCGATCTTGATCAGCTCCGCGATTCCGTCGTACATCTCCTTGACGGCGTCGTACTCGGTGAGGCCCATGCGCCTCTTGTTGGAGATGTCGTACACGCCGCCCTCGGCTTCGGTGTGCTCGCCGCGTGTTCCGCGCACCTGCAGGTGGTACTTGCTGGCGACCTCCTCCAGCTTCGCCTTGTCGGCGGCGAGCTTGGGCAGCTTGATGTGCACGGAGGCGCGCACGGTGGTGCCCAGGTTGGTGGGGCAGAAGGTCAGGAAGCCGAGGCGGTCGTTGTGCGAGAACGGGATCCGCTTCTCGATGTCGTTGACCGCGGTCACCAGCCTCTTGTACACCTGCTTCAGGTCGCCGCCCATCTGCATGGAGATGATGCGCAGGTGGTCCTCCTCGTTGCACCACACGAGGAAGGTCTTGTTCTCGTTGTGGTAGATACCGCGGCCGGTGGGCCAAAAGCGGCACGCGTTCGCCGCCTGGAGGAAGCGGTCGCCCTCCTTGAAGAGGAAGTGGTCGTCGATCAGCTGCTGCTGGGTCTCCTTGGACATGCCGGTGAGCGGGTAGAAGGTGCCCTTCAGCTCGCCCTCGAGCCCGGAGAGGGTGGACGACACCTTGTCCTCCATCTCCTTGTACTGCGCCTCAGTCAGGCACGGGTTGAAGGGGTAGCCCTCCATGGAGCGGCCGCAACGCACGCGGGTCGACACAATGAACTCGCCGGCGGGGTCCAGGTTGCCGAGGGTCTCTACATCGCCCCAGTTCTTGGGTGGGTGCTTGTCGGTCTTCTTGAAACCGTTGTGGTAGTCCTCGATGATGGGGTCGAACAGGTCGGCGAACACTGTGTACGACTCGGCATCGGGCGCGTAGATTCCAACACCAGAGTCCAAATTCTCAATACCTGCAAAAGGAATGAAAAGTTAGCAACGTGAAATACTGAACGCTTATGCATTTTACGCAAGTAGTGTCATACGATATGCGATATCGGATTATTTGCGACCGGATCATTATGAACGAACAATGGGGCTATCAATTTTCCACTTACGACGTTGCAACACCTTTGCCAATGTTATCTTCAATTTATATCAGTGTTTAATCAATAATCAACTTTTATTATAAATGTTAGATATTTTTTATAGTGTGAAAATTTGTTACGCAATTTCATATAAAATTTATTATTTATTGGATTTCTTTGTTATCAGCTAAATATATTATGAGATTAGAATGTTTGCAAAGATTCAACTGGCACGTCGAAAGCATGTAATCAATTTTTAATGTCTATAATTTATTAGTTGTTCATAAGAAAATATAAATCACTCACCCGACTGGATGCAGTCCAAAAGGGTAGAGCCGAAAGAGGTTTTCTTGTTCTTAAGTGCGTCGAACACCTCCCTCGTGAGGTACTTCTTCAACAGCGACTTGGAATCAGAGGCCTGGAGCTTGCTGAAACCAGCCTCCAACTTTTCGATTGTTGCGGCGTCCACCATTGCTGCTGCTTTTCTGTAAGCGGAAAAATACATTATGGTTTTATATAAGCCAAACATTTTTTTTTTGAAATCAAATCTTTTCAAATCAAAAGACGGTAGATAGTAATTCTAACGCTTTTAACGCTGCACATGTCGCCCGGGTACACATATTTAATCTCTTAACTGTAAACCTTTTTTGACACGCACGATTTTAATAATTTGTTACGAACTGAAATGTCAAAAAGTGGAAAGCGTCACCAATAGATTATATTTTCTATTTTTTAAAACAACGTTTTTGGAAACGGAAACTTGCGATCGAAGTTCTATTTATAAAATAATACTGGGAAAAGTCAGTTTTATGATTAGCAATACAAAATAACATAATATAAATAAAAAAACCCGATGGAAACAACATAGTAATATTTAATCAATAAATTATTAGGAATTTACAAACCGCCTGATGAGGTAATACGCAAGTACAGCGCCGCCGCAAACCACGATAGGAATGGTGACTTTAACTTTATAATTCATGACGATGGATTTTAATGTAACAAATATAAATGCCACTGGGGATTCGAGTGAGGTTCTACCAACTACGGGTGGGAATGCAACGCCGTTGTGACCGTCGAGCGTCTAGCACCGATTAAAACACACCCTAGTAGTAACTCGGGTTTTAGTGGAATTACGTAATTTAGGTAGAGGTCGCTCGGTCGGCGCGCAAGACTGGCGGATGTCTCGCTCACTGCGCACCGGTGTTCCTTTGCGACGCGCAGCAATGCCTCCCACTCGTCGAAGTATTATCGCGCTTCTTGTTACCACTTCGCGTCCATTTCTTTCGTGAATACACAATAATAAGCGACGTCGGATTACCGTACGTTCAATTCCACGTAAAGAATGACAAACTTTATTTGAATTTATCCTGCACTATTAGAAAATATTACACATTAGAATTTTTATGTTAATGAAATAACAAAATGTAAACAGTTAAGTTTACTGTACATAAACTTATACAATAGTACCAGTCTTATTGTACATTTAGAGCTTTTGAAACTATCGTTATTACAAATAAACTTGGTAAACAGACATGTTATAAGGAATTAAAAAAACTGTTATTGCATATATTTGTAATAAAAAATATATGGATATATTTTCTATTACAGAAAATTAATGTAATTGATTGAATGAATGTAAATGATTAATGTAATAGTTATACTTTTATGTGTGTAAAATATGTAAAACAACAAACTTGCAGTTTTCGGTTTTCATCTGAAATGACAATGTAAAACGTATAGCACCATTCGCTTGATAATGATTGCAACGCGAATATTTTGCACGTAATTAAGATAAGTACTGTACTAAGTAAAGGATGCGGTTTTATGCGAACACTATAATTCAACACTTTTAATAAAGATGTTGACGAATACAATTTTAGTTTAGTTTTTTTTTTGGTTGTGTTTATTTTAGTTGTACGATTAGAATTCAACACTTAAAAGTTGTTTATAATTAGAATGCTTTGGAGAGTAAAAAATTGAAATGATTGTGTCAGAATGTAATGATGACGTCCAGTAAGGAGCTTTAATACGCGTGAAAGGCGAAAATAACATAACTTGGCACAGGACAGACATTAGAGAAAAACGCCGGCCGCAGACATACGCACCCATCGGCACCGTCAGCCGGTTTGTTTTCCTTGTTCTCTTTCGTCGCACAGCCACCCATTTTGCACAAAATCTATACCTTAAAAACGAAGCTAGCCGCTAAACATGCACTAAAACACTATGAAACTACGGCAAATAAACAAAATGAACGGCGTATACTAAATGCGATGATGGAATGATATTTGTCGAAATGAACGGTCGTGTACCGCGGCCGGAGTGGCAAGGGCGAGGGGTGGCCCGATCGATGCGCGGCACGCGGCAACGCAGCACGCACGCGGACCGCGCTTCCCGCCTTTGGGGGATCGCTTCAAAACTTTTCGGAGGGAAACCTGCCCGCGGACGATTCACCGTTTACCTTCGCATGCGCCGGTAGAATGCAGCGGCGAGCGACAGCTTTCACGAAGCACGGTATCTATCATATCGACAGGACAGCACTCGAGATAATCTTAAACACTCGAAATGATGCTCTTGAAATTTGACCGACGCCGCTTAGCGGTCAATTGGGACCGGCACGACGGAAACGGTGGCGTACGGGCGGATCGACAGCGGGCGGTGCGATAAAATTAAATTGTGGCCACCGCTTACCTTTCACTAGAACAACCGTCGTAGTCGACTGCGAGGTGTAGAATGGTCGCTGCGGGAGCGCGCGGTACGTTAAGCCCGCAGCCCCCCCGCGCCCGCACCGCGGCCCTGCCTAACCTTGGCTTTGCTGATGCCTATGCCTCACGTTTGGCTGCCCATCCATTGCAGATCTACGACTTCGTTGCGCCCGGCTAGTGTCATATAATTTGCTATTCGGATGCCGCTGACGGTCATCACGACCGATCGCATTCCGAGGATAAATGCTGTCTATTCAGACTGCCAAACCCTTATTTATTTTATTTACTTGCAACATTGTTTCATGCTTATGCCTTTTGATAGGTAACTATATACATATATCCATTTACGAATAATTGTGTTGTTTTTTGCAACGCTTTGAGCAATAAGCTTTTTTGGTGTTTTCATTTTAAAATTGAATTACAAAATAAAAACCAAAACCACGATGAACCCTTTTGGTTTTTAATATTAAACGCATATGTTTTAAAATGAAAATTGATTACCCTTACTATTTACTTAATATTTACTAGGATATTTGCACAGATCACAATTTAACTTTTCTGTGTGAAAAATGAGCTAGCGTGCAGGCGGTCGAACAGATATTAAGTGATTACCGCAGCCATTGGACATCTACAACACTAGAGATTTGTAGGTATGTCGCCAACCTTTTAAAAAGAGCAGGCACTGGCTACTTCACTCACCGGGTCTTCTGTCAGGTTGTGGTACTACTCCGGACGAGCCTGCCCAAGTGCCCATTCGTGCTGTTCGTGCAACTGAGAAGACCGTTGCGTGGCTCTATCACAGTTAAACGACACTTTTCATTAACAGGTAGCATTTGATTTTTTTGACAATCGCACCCGGAAAGCGATATCATTGTCACCACTTTTTTTGTTGTTATCGGTTCTAACGGGAGTCTTAAAATAGATTTAATATTAGGCACCGATTTCGTTTTTTTTGGATGTAGTCCAAAACGGTTCAAAAGCACGTTACGCCAATCGGACGGTGCCAAGCCAATGTCAAGTTCGCCTTTTTACTTTCGTTGCGTAATTTTTATTACAGCATTATACATTTTTTCATTCACGTCATTAAAAAGTAGGTAAACGACGGGATTACGCTCAAGATTTTAATCGATTTTGATTACAACAGATCATCACATTTGTAATCACCGTAAATTATTATAAATTATTTTTTGTTATTATTAATAAAATTGGTAATTTTAATCAATTCTTCAATTATATGTATGATTACAATTCTTTTTTCATCCTTATTGGTGTCTAGTGTTTGATTGGTTTATAACAACTTTTTAACAAATTTCTTCCAACAAGAATCGCGTATTTTCTGTTGTTCTTATTTTTCTGCATATTTTTGATTTTAAAATCAATAAATATGGCGACTGTGGTCGCATCACAACAAACAGCTGTTGGATATTACCTTCAACTTCCGTTTCCTTGGCCGATACCAGCATGTACGTCACTACGTAACCGGTGCGTGCCCTAATGCCCTTGAACCCTGGATTTAAAGCGGGTTGTTCGTGCTAGGTCGCGCACAGTCGCGGAAGCCATAAAAATTGCCCCGGCCAACCGGGCGGAATCACGTGAAATATTAAATCGTAAATCGTCTTTAATCCGCATTTAATTGAAATCCTATATAAATAAACTCAAGTCCAAACAAGCTTTGAAGCTACAATTTTACTATCTTCTAATTTTAATAAAATGTTGACTTTAAAAAAACCCACGTTCTACTGTTATTTGGGCCCTTTTCACATCAGTGACAATGTTTTGATAAAGCACACTAATGATTTATGTTTTAGTTTTTGGTCGATGATCTATTTGATCAGATATTGCATATACAATCCCACGCCCTTGAAGATCATAGGATAGCGATCAAAGTAGAAATAAGATGTTTTAGGATGAGAATAATAATATAAATATCAGAAGATCCTATCAAAATAAAAAATAACTGAAAATAAATATTTTTTCATTTAATGTGGGTAAAAGCATCAGTGGCTTTTTAAGCTAAAAGCTAAAAGCTAAAGCGCAAACATTAGCTATAGCTTTAATCGTTTAGATAGATTCACCCGCAATAAAAACTAAACAATTAAATTAATATAAAATATAATTGCAAGGAGGTCGTAGCATGTAGAGAAACTTTTATTTTTTAAAGCTGGCAAACAAAATGCTTAAAACATTTTGCTTCTAGTTCTAAAGCTTTTGTTACTGTAAATAGAATAGTTTATATAAATACTTGTAAAAGTTCACCTTGTTCATAATTAATTATATTGATATGAAAGCAAACATTAATTTAATACCATAAATGTTAGTAATGAATTGTTAAAGCCGAGGAGACGGAGGATAATTTATAATTAGCAGTTTTGTTTTGTTAGCGTTGTTTTCATAACAATAATATTGTTGTGAACAATGTATAAATAGTCCAGCATTAAAATCAACTTCGATGTTTGCTGTTTCATCGTAATACTACGTCCTGTTGTCGTACAGTTTGATATTAAAATCAGCTCGTGGTGCTGATTTTTTATATCTTTATTAGTGCGAATTTTATTATGCTATATGCGAAGGTAGTGTAAAAAATTTGGCGAAGTAGGTCTTATTTACTTATAATACAGATTAAATCCAAGTTTGTGCCATGAAAAGATATTAATTAGTTAGCATACTGATCTTTATTCATAATATCCTAAAGATCTTGTATTATGTGTGCGTTACTGGGCAAATTGACGTGCCTACTAGTGTCAGTCTTAGTCCATCTGTTTGAGAACCATAGGAAATGAGGAAAGAATGACGTCCGCGTTAGTGAGTTGCGTGACGGGTTCCGTAACAAATTTAAACATTTCCTAACAGTCACGAAAATAAACAACAAAATGCCATAAATTTTCTGCATGGCAACCGTAGATAATATCCAATCTATAATTGGGTTGATTATGAGAAAAAATGGAAGGAAATGAAAATAATAAATAAAAGCAGACGAGTATAGTTAAGGGATGTGTTACTGGGATTCTCGTTGCGATACCGCTAACGTGTACTTGTCCCAGGTATGTGTGGCCTTGACGTAAGCAGTCGATGCGTTGATAATAGGCTCATGTGTTACGCCATTGTGGATCATGTGATTTTCTCCTAACTCAATATATATACAAGCACACAAACTCGATTGATGTATAGAAAGCAAGTGGACTCATTCGACCTCTTCTCAGTCAGATCGGGAATAACAAACCTTAACGCGCATACAGAAATTAGAAATATATTTAAAAAAGAAATGTATTTGTTTAGTAAGGATTTCGCATTCTTTCCGCCAATTTATTAATAGTAGTTTATTGCATCATAAATATTTTAAGTTATTAAACGGTTAATATTTACTGTTCCGCATGAATGATGTCAACACTGAACACATTGACTGGTTCTGGCCTAGTTGAGCCTCGTTATAACAATTGCAATAGTATCCTGGACAATTGAGGATTGTCCTCGATTACGCCCTTGAAACAGAGAATAATGAAAAGCGTACAAATAAGACGCATGTCCACTTGCGTGAACTGCTTGGTGCTTATTTTTTTTATTTTATATTACCTTCATATCATACATAGAGCTTGATACACCCAGCTCTTTGATCTATGCCTATGCAGTCTAAGTTCGGAAAGCGCATAGACCAATGACTTACAGTTTCATACAAATAGTTTGGTGTTAATTTAAAGATGTGTTTCACACCACTGCGCTGCAGTTTCTGCCGTTGCACGAATGAGCAGGCTCATTAAAGTACGGCCTTACTAGCTAGGGTTGTGAAGTGAAAATATTATACTTTTACGTTTCGTCTGGTGAGAATAACAAAGGAGCACAATTAAAAATCGGTAACGAATCTGCAACCCTACAGGTCATGAGAGAGGCTACCGGTAATCGCTGAATAATCGCTTTTAGTTAATATCTTATTACAGAAAGATTTAATATTCAGTTATTAAATTCAATGAACAAAAATCTAAAATGATAATTTAATCTCTGACGACATTATGATATTTAGGTCTAATATTATACACAACTTCAAAAAATCGGTAACAATGTGGTATGAGTGAGAATTTATTAACTATTTTTATGATTAAATATTTTCGCTAACTATGCTCCATCATTTATTTCCTTAGTTACAATGTCTTCTCAGTTTCTAATTCATAGATCGTGAATATATAACACTGTATCTGTTGCCATATCCAATTGACGTTTCGGTGGAAAAAATAAAGCGAGCCGTGGGAAGCTTCTCGAAGGCCTTGGCAATGACACGAAACCTCGGCCTTGCTGGCCGTTTAAAAAAAGAAAAATAAGAGTATTTGCATCTTAGCAACACGGTCGATTGATTCGCTAGTCGTGAAACTCTTTTAATACTTTTAATATATGGATTGAAATAACAAACGTACTAATTATATTAACACGTTACCTAAAAAAATAGCATGTTTATGGGGATAGTCATTTCTTTTTTTTTATGTGAGAAGGTTGCAAGTGAGCCGGCGGTTCACTTGATGGCTGAAGTGATAAACGTCGTCCTTGGACATTTGCAATGCCCAAAGGGTTGCAGATGATTTGCCACCTTTTAATATAGTGGCTCCGGCTACCTCAATTCTCAAAAAATTTCGTTGCGTTGTCAGTCTACGCAACGAAAAATCGTATTAAAATTTAAAAAAATTAAGCTTTATGTACTTTTATTGACAATTTGAGTTTTCGATTTAAGAAAATTTAGATCTGGACGAAAAAAATTTGTCAAAAAAACCACAAAACAAATGATAAGATTATTCTTTGGAAATTTCCGTAAGTAGTTAAGGTGGCGACATTTATTCATGTAGGAATGCATCACCAGGCCATCGGTATGAAAGTTTTATACCTCATAATATTTCCCAATAATAAATGTACAGGGGTACTTCAGTAGCTAGCTTTTAGTTGCTTTTTTGAATGTGTACATAATCTATTTGACAGAAGAAGCCGATGAGACGAGATAATACTGTCAGTGATAAAAATTACACTCAAGAAGCCTTACGAGCGATGACATGGTCGTAATCGGATTAGTAAGTGCTGTTCATGATGAACGTTACTAAATCGAGTCATCTATATATATATATATATATATATATATATATATATATATATATGTATATATATGTCTTTAGGTCGATTCGAGATGGTTTACATTCACAATTTTTGTTAAGTTATCGGATTTAAGTCAGCGTACAGGACAAAGTCTGCCTGATCCGCTGGTACTTGTATAAAATCACATGAAATTTTGGCGGCAAAATTGTGTTGGCGCAGTGTATGGGGTAAAATATGTATGTACAACAACAAATTACAGCTTGCTTGCTTGCATGCTTGCATATATGACGATAAACGATATATATATATATACATATATTATTTAAAATTGTATTAAAAATTTACATTCTTTAAACATCAATATTTACAGAGTTATTAAATTTTCTGAAACAAAGAATTTTAGAACATCCTTACGTATAAAACTGTAACGTAAAGTTCATTTGTAAAGGTCACAAAGCATATGAATGGGTTGAATGAATTTAAAAGAGACAAAACATACTGTTAGAAAACATAGGCTTGAAATGCGACACTGTGGCGCGAGTTGTATAGGATGTTACAAATTTTGTTTCTTTTTTACTTAATTAGTTTGTTTGAAAAATATTTTTTTTTAATTATGGATTTTGTTTAACGTTAATACTTTTTTATGATTATTGGCAAGTAGCGTTAGACGTGTGTCCATTTATTGTCGCGATGGTAACGACACGCTGTATATATATATATATATATATATATATATATATATATCTATATATATATATATATCTTAGATATAGGGTCGCGGTACTTTGGCTTTACTAAATACTGCGGTTTGCGCTAGAAAATCGTACATAATGTTAAGCAGTATTGGGAATGTTTGTTTTTCTAACATCGAAACATTTGAAACATTAAAATTTGCATATCCCGATATAAATCGTATGATAATGTTAACATTACAAGAACTACGTGACAGTATTTCCTCTTCAGTATTAATAACTTTTTGGAAATAAACAGCGGACGATAAAAAAATTATTATAAATTTGTAACAACTTTTCTGTTGTAAAAGCTTTTAATGATATATTTTCCATAAGTTGCCTATAACTCACGAAATTTTCGACATTATCTTGTTTTTGGCACATTTTTGTTCCTACCCTCCCATCATGTTAAAGCTAGCACGGAACCGCACAGAAACAAAAATATTATGGATGAGCGACACGTTTCTATTTTATTAAAATACAACGCACACGTCACCATGCTTATTGCACCTGATTGCCAGTCTTTGAGCACCTAAACAGAGGAAACCTCAAATACAGAATGATTAAAACCATTTACCTTGTACGCAATGACGCCTGATGAAGTATTTGGTTGGCAGGTGGACGATTTACTAAACGATTTATCTCCGATGAGCCACGATAGGCGCTGCGAGGTCTGTTATCTCTCGGCTTATCACAAAACGACTCACCTGTGTCCATCAAACGTGACCAGCACGAGCACGAAGTAAGCCAAAAGCAGCAACGTGTAGAAGCGAAGATAATTCCTGGAGAGTAGTCTGTACGGTATCATTTTGGAAGTTTCGCGAAGCCCCGACGATATTGCCAATAAAGCATAGATTATAGCTCGAATTAGATATAATATCGTGACGAATCCTCCTTGATTGCTTATCTGTCTTAGCAATAGATTGGCGAGTGTTAAACACGATTTTTGTGAACGGTTTAACAATCGTTTCACGTGGACCGGATTTCACCATTTAATTCTTATTGGAAAGCACTTTCATTAAAAGAATTATATGGCGTTTTTAGAAAGAACTAAATTTTATCAAGCAGTTTCTTTTAACAAAAGCTTATGTTGGAGTAATTACCCTCAATATTACCCTTATACCTCAAAGATTTGAGGAAGAGTAAAGTCGACTATAAAGTTGAATTTGCTGCTTATCGAAATACCAGGTTCGGTTCCAGGTAGTGGAATAAAGATTTTAAATGTGCCCTTTTTCAAAATCACTACTATAAATAATCTTCAAAATCAGTAATATAAATTATCTAACTAGTTAATCTTTATGATGCTATTTTTGGATGGACAGAATAAAGACAATACCAAATGATCTAAGTTATAGGTGCAACACACATCTCTTTCGTTCCACATTGTACTACGTACTTTAAAACAAATTAACTTATATGCATTTTGAAAGTTACTATTTTTTAAGCAATATTTATTACGTTAAAATGCACTCCACTGGTTGGAACTTTATCTGTTAACTCTTTAAAGCATCAATTTCTCAAATAACTAACATAATAATAGCTACCCTCGGGATCCTTTTCATTCTATTTAATAATGCAATCAAGAGAATTGAAGAAGAAAATTCCGAATTTCATATTTCGTTACGATAATTAGTTGCCAGTGTTTCATTGTTCATTGTTTATTTTTGCGGTAGCAATTACCTGTAATGGAATGAATGTCCTCTTTTAAGTTGATTATTATGTATTAAATGCTATGCTAGAAAAACTGAATTATGACTATTGAAGAAACCAAGAACTATTTTTTTGTCTTGAGGATTGTTGGTAGGTCTTCGGGAACGTTCGTGTTTCTATCGCAGTCTTAGTACCATCGTAATGTAACGAAGGATAACGTTAAAAATCCAATAATATGATCATGGAGTGACCTAATAAGATACATATTATATTTTTATTGTAAAACAATTTGAATATTATTGTAAAACAATAATATTCAATAAAGCATTTGATATCTATGGTTAAAATCTAGCTGTATTGAAACAATAAATATAAGCGTTGACCGCAAATATGGACTGTTGCGTTGCTGAACTCAATAAGTTTACTCCCAACAATATGAAGAACATTTTTATGAGGAACTCTTACTTATCCTCAATGTACTGTGGAAAATCTGCAGGCGATAACGAACCTTACGAGTGTGAATAGACATATAAATGTAATACAAATCAAATGATACATTTATTTGCACGCCAGCCCGATAAACTGGTGCCTAGATTAGATTGCAACCACATGGTATTCAGCTCGAGAGCATTTCAAGATGGCTTACCGAACGTTCAAAGTTTAAGGACAAATTTCACTACACTTTGTGAAGGTTTAATCGTAATTATCGATTAGTTTTCTGTCAAGATGACCCGACCGTGTAATGTTATTTTCGAAACTCGAACGGTTAATTAATAAAGAGATTGAAAAATTAATACGGATGTATTTTAATTGCTTATTGTGAACAGTATATTCAATTTGGCAGTGTTACATGGGGCGGAATGTTTTGGTGGACATTCTATGTGCCCATATATGATTTTAAACGATGGCCGATTAAAAAGTTGTTGGTTAAATTTGGTTCAGGCCTCGAAGCTCTGACATTACGTGAGGATAGGATCATATCCTACTGTGATGGTCATTTCAAAAGTCACTTAAATGGGCGTAGAAATGGTTCTAGGTAATGGAAAAATTCTTTTATTTCATCCGTCCGAATTCGATTTTTTGGAACGACGGAATTGTTTCAAAACTAATAACAAGAAGTCTGTTCATCCAAACACATAGCTAGCACTGTTTATGCTAGAAACCGGGTCAATATTGCGTAAGTCCCAACCCTTGTTTCGTGATTGTTTCTGTTAAATAAGGTTGAACGTATCTCGTAAAATGCGTCATCGAACACGCATAAATGCCAACTTCTCAGAACACCGCGGCATCAAACATGACGCATGGAAAATAACACAATGGCGGAACACGGCAGCGATAAGGGTAGCCATAATTCGTCCAACTTTAGATCTAGAACTTGCTGAGACACTTTCTTAAATACTTGATCATGGCTCGCGCTCAGGTAGCTAAAGTGGATCTTTGAATAAACCTTTTTTAAATTACGCTAACTCAATCCAAACAGCACCGTTAACTCAACACTTGGAAATTAGCTATGTATCACATATGTGATACATAGCTAATTTCCATAGCTTAATTGCTTCGGACTGTGAATAATTTTTAGTTATATTGCATTAAGAGAACCCGTATAAATATGGATTTTAGATACAAAAATTAGACTTGATTTTGAAAAGTTTATGTGACAATCTTCTCATCAGCATGCTTCATTGACTTTAAGTCAAGAAACTCGAAAGCGTTAAAAGTATCAAAGCTCTGAATTGCAGCTTTAAACTATTTTATGAATGTCTATTCAAATAAATATTAAATTATTCATATAAAATTGTTTAAAGTATATGTTTAATATGTCATATGTAAAGAAATCTGATTTTAAAACAAAATCAGAAAATAGCAAAATAAAATATATTATAACGAATCAGTTCCTTCATTACAACTAATCTATCGCCACTGAAACATTTGGATTACACTCGTTTAGTTATTTGACATAAAAAACGAGTTTGTAAAGACTGACCACCATATCAGATGTATGTATGCTATGATGTATTGCTACAAGAAGTGGATAGTGCGAATAGCGAAGGTAGTGAGGCTATAAATTTTTTACGGTATGATCTTAACTAGTATAACGCTCATAAACTTGAAAAAGATTGTTTATTATAAGAGGGAGCGGTTTACCGAGGTCTTCCGTCCATAGACTCGAGATCACAGACGCACGTACTTGGTGTAGTCCTTCAAACGAAACGCGAAAGTATACATTTGTTTCAGTCTTCTGTCTGTATTTTAAGGCCGTGGTATCTCTGGCTCAGCTTGTCGATTAGTGCAGAGGGAGCCGTTATGCGGTGGTTCTACCAAACTTTAGATTACATTAATTCAGTTTGAGAGAACATTACATTCTTTGACAGCACGTCTAGTACTTTACTTCCATTTACCTACCTCTATACGATAATTGTTAAACATTCCTTTTTTAAGTTTAACGACTATATATAAATTAAATTTATAATGCCAACTTGGCTTATACATGTGATAATTTTAGCCCTTAAGGTCGCCTTTTTGCCGTTCAGGCAGAGTCGCGGTTGAGCGTTAGTTGGACTTAACCCATTTGAATGTTCTAAGCGCAAAATACGGATACACGAACGGAATGGGCCGCCTCCTGGCTACGGATGCGTCTGTTACGAGCAGCCCGCATCTGTTGATTTATTAGATCAAATTGGAGCGTCATACGGGATGAGTCCACGTTGTATGCGGGCAGTTGATAATCACGCTAAATTGATGAATGTAAACAGGGAGCCGCGTGCGTAGCTGGTGGCTGAACATATCAATGTACCGCGCGTAATCTGTATTTCTGTACATATAATTAACACACGGACTGTGTTCGTTCTTATGTGCTATTACATACATCCATTGTCACTTGTAATGAGATTTGTCTTCGCTAACGCAGATGCCCCACACTCTACTTTTGCCTCACACGCATACCTTAAAACGTAAGCAATTATCTCAGAGTAATCAGAATGAGCCAGAAGTAATCGGAGCAAATATAGAGTGCGACATTTTTCATGGTATGTCTAAACTACTTTAAAGATAAATTTTCTCTAGCTTAATCGCTACATGTTTTAGTCCATTCTTTGCATTATACCTGATTTTAGGCAGTTTATCTTTCTTAACGACCCCATTTAAATCGCATTTATTATCTTCCATGCTACTGCCAAGCGGTTCCATACATTCGTATCAACACCGCGCCATGGCTGCCCAAGTCCTCTTAATTGCTTCGTTTAATATTCATGTTTAAATCTCGAATTCACCCTTTAATCAATCCGTTCACACTTCTTATAACTAGTAAATATACATTCCAGCTTTAGCAACTCTTCTGACGTCGCGTTAGCGTCTGACGTCGTTAAACGTCTGGGCGATAACTGGAGGTAATCGCTTAAAATCAGGCTTCTATGAAAAAAGCAAACGAATTTGTTTACCTCTCTACACCTACTGTTGTGTTAATTTGTAGTGTCAGTTTCTGTGTTTTTTATTTGAAAAGTGGGCGAGTGAGCAGGCGGTTCACATCACAACATAGGTTGACGCTGCGCATAGGCCGTGATACTTCCTCTGACGGACCTACCTATTCGTGCAACACTGGAGACTGTGTCGTGGCTCTACCAGTTACATTATCGTGCCATATTTTAGAGTTCATCCGAAAGAAATTAAATATGAACAAGGGCAGGAAAGACAAAAATAAAGTTAGAAAGTCTGTACGTCTGCCAATGCGTATGGAATGGAGGTGATGGTTATTAGTACACTTCGATATGGAAACATTACAGTACACTAATCAATCTTCTGGTATCAAGAGTATCTCAGTTTTTAAGAGTTTCTCAGTTTGACGACCCGAATGGCGTAGTCGGTAGTGTACCTGCCTTCTGCGCCAGAGGGTGTGGGTTCGATCCCCACTACTGGAAAAATATTGTGTGATGAGCATAGTGTTTTTCTAGTGTCTGGGTGTTTATATATGTATAATGTGTATTTATTTACAAAAGAAAAGTATGTTTAAGTATGTCTATCAGTTTTCTAGTACCCATAGTACAAGCATTGCTTAGTTTGGGACTAGAGAATGTTGTGTAAAAAGAACGTGTCCTAAAATTTATTTATAATTAATTTATTTATCAGTCTCTTGCCAGTGTAAGTAAATATGTTAGAAGCAAG